GAAGCGAGCTCATGCAGGTGGGGCTCATGGGGCGGGCCCAGTGGGATCCCAAAGGACCTTACAGGTGGGAGAAGCACATGGAGGCGTGAGAGTGGAGGAAGGCCCGGTGACACGCCACGCCAGGGGCTCAGTCCTTCGCTGCTGGCTTTGATGATGGAGGCAGTGGCCACAGGCCCCAAGTCCGGCAGAGGCCAGGACGCCAATTCTCACCTAAAGTTTCCAGAGCAGACGCAGCCCCGCTGATGTCGTGATTCTGTCCCAGCCGGACTTGGGTCAGACTTCTGAGCTCCAGCAGGACACGGGGACAGACCTGCCTGTGTCTCTGGGAGCCACCACGTTTATACGAATTTTTTTTTTTTTTGACAGGCAGAGTGGACAGTGAGAGAGAGACAGAGAGAAAGGTCTTCCTTTGCCGTTGGTTCACCCTCCAATGGCTGCCGCGGCTGGCGCACTGTGGCCAGCGCACCGCGCTGATCCGATGGCAGGAGCCAGGAACCAGGTGCTTTTCCTGGTCTCCCATGGGGTGCAGGGCCCAAGCACTTGGGCCATCCTCCACTGCACTCCTGGGCCACAGCAGAGAGCTGACCTGGAAGAGGGGCAACCGGGACAGAATCCGGCGCCCCGACTGGGACTAGAACCCGGTGTGCCGGCGCCGCAAGGTGGAGGATTAGCCTAGTGAGCCGAGGCGCCGGCTGTTTATGCAAATTTGAAACAGCAGGCTCAGAGGCGAGTCCCCCTCCAGTGCCTCCCTCCCTCTTCCTTGGGAGGCAGCCCCTCGGATTGCCACCCTCCTGTTCCCTGCTTCAGGGTTCATGGCTACCTGACCCGGGCCAGAGCGCTGGACTGCTTACAGGGGTGTGGCTGAGCTGCAGGCAGGAGCCTCGTGTTTCCGGGGCCCTTTCGGGCTGCATGTGGGCGGGGCCTGTCTGGGAACAAAGCAGCCCAGAGGATGGCAAAGCCCGCAGCTTCGAGAAGGGCTCTTGGACAGCTGGATGCAGCTGTGCCCGAAGCTGTGCGTGGAACTGGCGTCCGCTACTTAAAACGAAGAGGGTTTTGGAAAAGTTCAATGTTCAATGCGGTTGCACTTATTCTTGCCATGTTAGCTTCTTAGCACCTGCTGTGGGGTCTGGAACTCAGCGTCTCCCTGCAGGAGGCCGTGCGCTCAAGAGGGAAAGGTTCTGTCACAGCCATAACACACCAGGTTGGCATCTAAGGGGCATGGGATTCTCATGCTGGACTCGGGGCGGGCTCTGCAGAGGGAGGACCAGGCTGTGGATGGCTGCTGGGGACATGGGCCATCCCTGGTCCCCGTGGGGATGTCTCCTCAACATTCACTGTTCCCAGGTGCACCGGTGGCTTCTTCCTCTGGGATACTGTGATTCCCCGCTGATGGCCAAGGACACGCACTAGGTCTGTGCACGCGGCAGCCTGGAGGTGGGACGGGGTGGATGTGCAAGTGGCTTCCTTCCTCCATGACAGCCTCTTTGGGCTCAGGTAGGACAAGCCAGGTCCCCAGCCTGTCCCACAGGCCCCAGCAGGGCTGAGTTCCAGTTGCCCACCACAATTTGCTCCTCACTATGGACTGTACTGGGTCCCCTTCCTGCCACACTCCTGAGTTGAAGCCTGAGCCCCCAAGGTTGTCTGTATTTGGAGAGAGGTGATTCAGGCGAAGATGAGGACTAGGAAGGGACGCCAGGCATGTGTGCACGTAGACAAAAAGCTACGTGAGGTCAGGCGAGAAGGTGCCGTCTGTATACAGAGGGGCGAGGGTAAAGGAGAAGCTGACCTTGCAGGCGCCTTGATCTTGGACTTGGCGGCCTCAGAGCTGAGAACAGAAATCTGCTGTGTAAGCCGTGCTGCAGAGCAGCCTGAGCAAGTGAGCAAAATCATGGCCGCACCTGCCCTGGCTGTCTTCTCCCCGTCTCTCCATCCTGCCCCCTTAACAAAGCGGCTTGAGATCCTCTCGCACTGGGAGTCTTGCCTCGGGCCCCACGTCTGGGACAACCAGGTGAACAGTCCCACCCATCCCTTACCTAGAGGCACAGCTGCCTTCCCTGGACGCACAGAACAGGGAGAAGTCTTCGGAGACTGCAACTCCAGTCGTCCGAGGTAGTGACCCTGAGCCAGTGAAAGGGCTCAGAGATTCCTGGCTGGCGTCACACCCAGGGCTGGGGAAGGAGCAGACTCCAGCCTGGCCCGGCGCGGCCTGTGGGTTCATTCACCATCCAGACAGCTGCGGGGTGGCCGATCCCTTCCTGGGTGTGAAGGCAAAGAGGCTGCCAGAGATTCCGATGGAGCTTCCGGAGCCACACACAGTGCCGCTGGCTCAGCTGTTTTCTCTCCCTGAGCCTGGCACTGATGGACATGAGGCCGGCACCTCCGGGAGGGACCCGGGAGGGGGTGCAGATGAAACACTTGGGAGGGGTTGAGGCCACTGCATCTGGGGGGCCCTTCCAGGGGCTGGGGGGCGGGGGCGGGGGTAGATTCTGGAGCTGCAGGGATTATGGCAGGGCATTCTGTCCCCGGGGCCACTTCCATTTCGGCAGGGGCTACTCCAACGATGAGGAGCTGTTTCCTGCACATGGTGGGCTGTGGGGTGGGAGCGCCGAGCCGAGCCTCCCTAGCTGGCAGGCCTCGCTGCAAGGGAGTCTCCCGGGAAACCCAGGAGGCAGCAGCTCCAGCTTCAAGGTGCAACTTTATTCCGAAGTGCAGCTTGCGAGGGGTCTGGGCCCCCCCCCCTGCGTCTGTTGCCATGGCAACCAGTGCTTTCTAGTGAATGGCTCCAGTCATTTTCAAGAGAGGGGAGAGGATGATGTCTCTTTGGGATTCTCTCTCTGTCTTTCAGATTTATTTATTTAAAAGATAGAGTACACACACACACGCACGCATGCACGCACACCCAGATCTTACTCATGTTCCTTCATTTCCCAAATGCTGCATCAGCTCAGCTGAGCTTGGGCCAGGCTGAAACCAGGACCGAGTCTCCCACGTGGGTGGCAGGGGCCCGAGGACTTGGGGCAGCTTCCGCTGCTTTCCCAGGTGCATCAGGAGGGAGGTGGAGGGGAGGTGGAGCAGCTGGGACTGGAACCAACACTCCTGTGGGGACATCAGCGATACAAGAAGTGGCCTACCGCACTGTGCCACAGTGTCGGCCCCTCTCCGGGATGTTTTTGGCAGCTCATGAGGAAGATCGGGAGCTTTGCGATGAGGATGGTGTTCCCCACATTGGAGTAGATTCTTCCATGCCCCGGAAGAATATCGCCGGAAGACGAGGATGGCAGATGTAGCTATAAATCTGGACAGCAATCTCCAAGGAGCTCACAGCGGAGCCCCTGGGCCCACAGGAGACCAAACAGGCCGCTGAATGTCCTGGGCCATCCCTGGGGATGTGGAGGGTGCCAGGGCAGGTTTTGCTTTTTGCAAAGGTGCTTGGCAGATCAACAAAAGGAGGGCAAAGGACCAGCCGAGGCCCTTGGAGAGCTAGTTTGGTTCGCTACGTGATCAAGACATGCACTGCTTTAGAGAACCAGAGACTGAGGCCAGCCAGGCAGGTCCACGCTGCCTTTGGGGTCTGCCCCCTCGTAATGGCTGCACTCAGCTCTGGCCTTACCCAGCGCCCACCTGAGTGAGACAGCACCGGAGCCACACCTGTCACTTGCCTTGCAAAGACACCTCTAGCACCAACCACACTCGGATCCAGGAGCGTGGGCTCATGGCGCGCGTCTTTAACAAGCCCCAGGGAAGACGAGAAGAGTTGAAAGTTTGGGGGTGGACAGCGGCTGCTGTTATTATTTCTTCCTCATGGATATTGGAAGCAATGGGCTGATTCCAGAGAGACTCTGGGGACAGTGTAATGACACAGGTGGCTTGGGGACACTTAAAAGAAAAAGTGGTGCTCCTTATATGTCCCCTGCGTTCTTTTAGGACGTGCTGTGCCAGATCCCATTCCCTTCTTCGGTTTGAAGTCTGGGGAGACTGCACCAGGGCGGTTAGCTCTGCCGGGAGGGGAGGGACCAGCTTCCAGCCAGGGCCTTGGGCACGTTGGAGACGTGCTAGGAGTCTGGTTTGGGTTTTCCCAAGGTCTCAGCAAGAGGTGGCCGGTGTAGAAAGCTGGCCTTGCAAGGGGTGTGTGGTGTGGTCAGGTGCATGGGCAAGGCGGGCATTTAACCCAGGGCAGTCTGGTGCTGGAGGCCAGTGGAAAGTTCTAGCACGATGGGGGCTGGCGTTATGGCAACGCAGGCATCTCCCATCTGAGTGCTGGGTGCTGCTTCCCATCCAGCTTCCGGCTCCCGTGCGTGGACGATGGCTCAAGTACTTGGGTCCCTGCCACTGTGTGGGAGACTGCTGGGTGGAGTTCCTGGCTCCTGTTTCCTCCCAGCCCCTCCCGATGCTGCATTTGGGATCAGTGGATGAGTGGATGGAAGCTCTCTCTGTTTCTCTCTCTCTCTCTCTCTCTCTGCCTTTTCAGTAAGTAAATAAAGCAAATCTTGAAAAAAGCATCTGGCGGTGGCTTGTTAGGATATGCAGTTCTCTGGGCCCCACCCTAGGGGTGCTGACGTCTGACAACCGTTGCTGTAGAACTTTCTAGCATCGCTGGCTGAGAAAGAAAGAGGTACGAAGCAAAGGGCAGTTAAAAAAAAAAGTCTACACCTATGAATGCCGTTAGGCCAAAGAGGCAGGTGCATGTATGAAGTCAGGGGCCTGGGTTCAAGTGTGACTCCAGCGGAACCGCGTGCCCATCACGCGGGGTTAACAGAGATGCCCGGGGCCTGGTGGGGCTGGGCGCTCGGTACCCCGGGATCGGTGCCTACCTGCAGTCCCCCGCCGCCGCCAGGGTTCGAGCACAGCCCGGGCAGGCGTTGCCATGGCAGCGCCGCGGGCGGGGACGCCTGAGGCTGAGCGCGCCGCCCCGAGGGCCCCTCGGCGAGGCGGGGGCGGAGGGCGTTCTCCCACCCCAAAGCCTCGTTGCCCCGCGCCTCCCGGGCCGGGTTAAAGGGTGGGGTTGCAGGGGTGCAGCGGGGCGGGCGCAGGGCCGGGGGCGGGGCGCCGCCGCCTGCCAGCCGCTCCCGCATTAAAATTTCATGCGCGCTGCAGCAGCTACGAAGTCGGCGCCGGCTGCGCTCGGGGGACCAGCGGGAGGGAGGCTGCGGACGAGTGCGGGGAGGAGTCTGCGCTGGGAGGCGCTTGCAGGGGCTCCCCCAGTTCTGCGCCGAGAGCCGCGGCACAAAGAGCTCTCTGCGCCCACCAGAGGTAAGCGGCCGCCCGCGTCCCCACCGCCCGCGCCGGCCGGGCATCTTCGTCGCCTCCCCGGAGGTCCCGGGGTCCCAGGGCAGGGTCCGGGGGAGGGGGCGGGCCGACGCTGCCCGGAACGCCCTGCCTCCGATGGGCGAAGAGGCGCTCGCTCAACCTGCGGTTGTCAAACGCAGCCAATGGGGCGCGGGAAGGCAGGCTGGGCTGGGAGTGCGGGGAGGATCGGAGATTATGCCGTCGGGATCTGGGGTGGGAGGCGACGAACAAAGACCCTTGGCTTCCCCTGCCACCAGACAGACGTGGGAGGCGGACCCCCGGGTTAGCAGCTAACTGGCCGAGTCGTGGACAGAGCCCAGATGGTCTTGCGGGTGGGGGTGGGGCGGTGGGGCGGGGTCCTCGAGTCCTGCGCCCCCGTCCCCAGCCTGTCGTGTGCCCCCAGCCAGCGCCTTCCATTCATTCCCGCACTTCCGGAGCTCCAGTCGCAGACGTGCGGTGTCGTCCCGGGCGGCTAGAAGGGGCCGGAGAGGGCTGGCCGTGGTGGTGACAGCGGTGCCGGCAGCGATACTTGGGCTTGCTGCTCCGCCTGCGTTCTTCCGGCAAGCCCACGAGGTTCGTGAGAGCCCCGTATTAAGGATGAGATGGAAATGGAAATCCAGAGAGGGTTAGCGACATGCCCAAGGTGACACAGCCGGCGAGTTTGGGATCCAGACCTCTGGGACTCTAAGATCTGTTTTACACCCCCACCCCGCAGGGGTCCGCAGAGACCCCCAGAACCCAGCAGCTTGGCTCCCTTACCTCTCCTTGGACCCAGCGCACTCTGGAGAGGCTGGGAATTGGGGGAGGGTGGGGGGGGCCAGGCCGGATCTTTTCTCTCCTCAGGCGGAGAGTCCTGAGCTGGAGACATTGTTTCCGGGGCTGTGGGCGCTGGCAGAGCAGGGAGAAGGGGTATGTGGGGAAGGTCCCGGGGGGCCCCGGATTCCCCATCCTCGCCCAGGGCTCCAGACCCGAGGCAACCGAGCGCCCGGCCTTGCTGGCGCGCGCACCCCACTGCAGTGCGCGGCTGGGAAGCCGCCCCCACCTGCTGCAGGAGCGGAGCGGCGGGCGGAGGGAGCGCGGGAGCGAGGCTGGCGAGTTCTTGCGGGAAGCCGCTTTGTTTTGCTCTGGGTCAGCCTCGCAGCGAGCGCAGCCAGGGAAAGCGCACGGCCATTTGGGGGCACCCGGGCTGGATGAGTAATTCCACTTGACAGACGGGGAAACCTGCGCACGGCGGCTGTGAGGCTCCAGGGGCGTGGCTTCCCGTCGGCAGATGCCTGGGCCACGTGGCCAGGGGCGTGAATCAGCAGGTTTGGGGTGGGGCTGGGCATGGGGCATTGGCTCAGGTGCGGCCTCAGGGGTCGGACCGCAGGGAACGCAGCAGTGCCGGCGCGCCTGTCCTCACCCCGTCCAGCCTGGCTTCCTTGGGGATCCTCCTTTGGGGGCGTCATTGACCGCACCCCACACAGCTAAATCCCAGTTTGGCTGGTTTCGCGTTGACCTCCGTGGTCTAGTTGTCCTTGAAAATGATTCTGAAATCTTCCCAGGGTCGTTCTTGCTGCAATATTTTAGCCTCTGCCTTCCTCCACAGAGGGTCTCAGAAAGGAAGCAAGCCCCCCACCCCGGCCGCCAGGCTCGCCGGGCTCACCTTCCATGCCTGCCTGTTTTTAGAATTTTTTGGTGATCTTTCAAAAGACAAAAGCTAGGAAGCTTTATAATGCATAATAATTGTGGAAGATTGAAACAGAGAGGAAGACGGCACCCTTCCGGCAGCCAAGAATCACCCGTGTTTTCTGTTGCTGAAAAGAAATGACTCAAACTGAATTCTGTGATTCCTGCTTTAGAGAGGCCACAGCAGGTGTGTGAGTCAGCGTGACCTCTGCGGAGAACCTGCAGAGCTGTTAGCGTTCCCTGGGGCAGACGAATAAGGTCCACCCAGCCCCTAGTGCTGGGTCTGCCAGGTGTTTGTGGTCCCTACAACTTTTTTTAAAAAAAATATTTATTTATTTGAGAGGTAGGGTTAGAGAGAGAGAGAGAGAGAGAGAGAAAGGTCTTCCATTTGCTGGTTTACTCTCCAGCAATGGCCGGAACTGGGCTGATCTGAAGCCAGGAGCCAGGAGCTTCTTCCAGGTCTCCCACACAGGTACAGGGGCCCAGGCACTTGGGCCATCTTCTACTGCTTTCCCAGGCCATAGCAGGGAGCTGGACGGGAAGTGGAGCAGCTGGGTCTCTAACCAGCGCCCATGTGGGATGCTGGTGCCCCAGACGGAGGCTCAGCCTACTGTGCCACAGCGCGCCCCGCTCCTTCCGTTGGACCTGATGGGTGCTTCTTCCTAGGGTGGGACTGCACTCTTTGGGCTTGTTTGCAATGGCAGCACAGCCTGGTGGAAAGAGCAGGGTTGGCCATGACACCTGTCCGTGTGCAAATCTTCTCTGAGCTCAGTCTGCTCATCTGAGATTGCTGTGAGGCCATGCACAGTGAGTGTAAAGTACCTGACCCCCTGTGGGTGATGCCCCGGGTGCCCCCAGGGCGCCGGCCCCTTCCTTTGGGAAGACCCCCCCCCCCTTGCCTCCGTTCCTTGTTTGGACGCCTACGTACCAGCTCTTATTCCGCCAAGGCTGTTGTTTCCTGTCCTGGGTGATCCTTGGGCTGTTGGTGCTTCTGGCACTTTGGAGCCATTGTGCAGGTTCAATGGGCTGGTGAATAACACATCGGATCGTCTTTTGTCCCTCCGGAGTCCCTCTCCTTGTCTCTGAGGCCGGGCTCATCTGTCAGCCGGCGGAACAATAAGCACAGATTCGCAGAGGCAGAGGCGAGGTCTGGCTGAGGGGACATCTGTCTCCCTCTCCTTTGCACGCTGATCGGATTAGATGGGGCAGGTGCTCCCTGCTCCCTCGCCCTGCCAGGTGGGCCCTCTGGAAGCTGCTGGGTGAATCACAGCCGGCCGGGAGGGAGGGGCTGGGCTGCTACGCGCTCCAGCCTGCACGGCAGCGATGAATGACAGTTGGAGTTCTTTTGAAGGCTGGGGCTATTACAGATGAGACACTGGGGCTCAGAGAGGGGGAGTGACGAGTTCAGAGTCACACAGCAGTTTAGCTGGAGAGTTAGGATTTGTTAAATGTTAATTATTTATTGTTTTCTTTAGTAGGGGGAGAGAGAGATCTCACATCTGCTGGTTCATTCCCCACATAACCACAACAGCTAGGGCTGGGCCAGACCGAAGTGAGGAGCCAGGAACTACATTGGGGTCTCCCACAGGAGTGGCAGGAACCCAAGCACTTGAGCCCTCAGCTGCTGCCTCCCAGGGGGCGCATTAGCAGGGGGCTGGGACTGGGAGTGGGGCTGGGACTGGGAGTGGAGCTGGGGCCCGAGCCCCAGCACTGAGACGTGGGGTGCTCCAGCCCTCTGCAGCTCTGCCGAACCCTCCGCTGCAGAGTGAGGTTTTTATTTTTTAATCTCTCCTGGATCTTTGAAGATTTTTTTAAAATTAATTTGAAAGAGTGTCAGAAAGAGAGAGCGAGAGAGATCTTCCATGTGCTGGTTCCCTCCCCAGATGGCCACTATCTCTCTCTCTTTTATCTCTCTCTGGAGAGAGAAACTGACAGAGAAAGAGAGTGCCCCCGAGAAAGATCTCCCGTTTGCTGTTCACTCCCTAAATGCCTGCAACAGCCAGGGCTGGGCTGAGGCTGGAGCTGGGGGCAGGGGGAACTCAGCCCGGGTCTCCCTCGCAGGTGGCAGGGACCCAACCTTGGGAGCCCCCACTGCTGCCTCACAGGGTGTGCATGAGCGGGACGCCAGGATTGGGAGTGGTGCTGAGAATGAAACCTGGGCTTTGATTTGGAACGATCTGCTAGTGGCCATGGGGTACCCCCCCATTCATTTTTGATCCACACCCTGGGGGTGTCTTTGACTGCCATATCTTGAAACAGGACCTGGCATCCTGCCCCCAGGTGCCCACGGCCACACCTGGCCCCTCACTGCTGCCTTCTTCTCTCTTGATGATAGCTGTGGCCTCTCCCTGCCCATGCACGTGGTTTCTGAGACACGCGTGTGGCCGCCATGACCCAGTGGCAGCAAAGGGGTAAGCAAAGTGCTCGTCATCACTCTCTGTCTGTGGGCAGTGGGAGTGGGGGCCCTGGCAGCCATGTGCTGATTCCTCCTGAAGGCCAGAGGTGGGGGAGGAGCTGGGTCCCAGCGCTTCCTTTAGGGGGCTCCTTGAGGGACCCGTGTGGCCTTTGCGAGCCCAGATGCGGGGGTCCTGGCACCCAGCATGAGGTCTCTTTCATTACATGTGAACAGGTTTGGACAAAAATCGCCTTACAGAGGTGTACGGTACCCAGAGGGAAATGTACCTGCGGACGGGTGGGACCCTCACCACGGTCCAGATGTGGGACACGAGCAGGGCGCGAAAATGTCCCTCTGCGTCCTGTCCCTGCCAGGCCCCAAGACACCAATGATCTACTTTCTGTGACTGTAGATTCTGTGTGTGTGTGTGTGTGTGTGTGTGTGTGTGTTTTAAGATTTATTTACAGATAGGCAGAGGCAGAGAGAGAGAGAGAGAGGTCTTCCATCCACTGGTTCACTCCCCAATTGGCTGCAATGGCTAGAGCTGTGCTGATCTGAAGCCAGGAGCTTCCTCCAAGTCTCCCACACAGGTGCAGGGGCCCAAGGACCTGGGCCATCTTCCACTGCTTTCCCAGGCCATAGTAGAGAGCTGGATCGCAAGTGGAGCAGCTGGGACTAGAACTGGCGCCCATATGGGATGCCAGCACCCACATGGGATGCTGGTTCTGGTGTTTTTGCTAAAGGTCCACGCCCGTGTGCAGAATCCTCCGCTTGGCTGCTGGTGCATCGTATTTTTAAGGCTCACCCTTGTCTGCCTCAGTGGTTGGAGCCCTTCTGGAAGCCGAGTTGAACATCAGCAGTGTCAAGTGTACAACTCAACAGTAATTTCTAGTCAGTTTACCAACTTGTACAAACACCGCCATCCGTCAGTTTTAGGACATTCACGACATCCCAAAGACATCCTCGTGTCCACTGTGGATGCCCCTTGCACCCCGGTCCCAGGCACCCATGCACCCATGCACCCACTTCCTGTTGGCTTGGTTTTCCTGAGCTGTTCGCATAAATGGGATCCATGTGTGTTCTGTTGTTTCTGTCTTCCTTCTCTTAGTTGAATGTTTTTGAGGCTGGTTCTTGTTGTAGTTTCTATCAATGCTTTTCCTTTGAATTCTTGAGTAAATGTATGTGTGGATGTGCCACGTTGAGTAGATGGGGTTGGGGTACCTCAATCTTTTTTTTAAGATTTATTTATTCCTTTGAAAGGCAGAAAGAGAGAGAGGGCGAGAGAGAGAGAGGGAGACGGGGAGAGAGAGAGAAAGAGAGAGAGAGAGAGATTTTCCATCAATGGTTCACTCCCCAAATGGCTGCAACAGCTAGGGCTGGGCCAGGTGGAAACCAGGAGCCAGGAGCTTCTTCTGGATCTCCCACGTGGGTGCAGGGGCCCAGACACGTGGGCCATCTTTCTCCGCTTTCCCAGGAGTATTAGCAGGGAGCTGGATCAGAAGTGGAGCAGCAGGGACACAAACCAGGATGCCATGGTCTTAATCATGTTTATCTGACCCTAAAGTCCATCCCTATCTTTGTACCCTGGAAGACAATGGCAGCTTTTGAAAAATAGATGTATTGGGGTGGCATGATACAGGGGGTTCAGCTGCAGCCTTGGACGTCAGCATCCACGTGAGCACTGGTTCCAGTTCTGGCTGCTCCACTTCTGATCCAGCTCCCTGCTAATGCACCTGGGAAAGCAGTGGAAGATGGCCCGAGTGCCTGCGCCACTGCACCCACACGGGAGACCTGGATGGAGTTCCAGGCTCCTGGCTTTGGCCTGGCCCTGCCCCAGCAGTTGTGGCCATTTAGGGAATGAACTAGTGGATGGAAGATCTCTTTCTGTGTCTCTTTCTGTCACTCTGTGTTTCACACAAATCAAATACACCTTTAGAAAAAATTATTTCCTTTCATATAGTTGAAATGTTTGAAAGGCTGAGAGAGAGAGAGATTGAGATTGATCTTCCATCTGCTGATTCACTTCCCAGATGCCTGTAACAGCCAGGGTTGGGCCAGGAGCCTAGAACTCAGTCCAGTTTTCCTGTGTGAGTGGCAGGGACCAACAACCTGCTACCTCCCACGGTGCACATTAGCAGGATGGGATCTGGAACCAGGACTCGAACTGGGCACTCTGCTATGGGATCCAAGCATCCCGAGTGGCGTCCTAAGCACTGTGCCCAGTGCCTGCCCCTGTGACAGTGCTAACTGAACCCAGGGGCTCCAGTTCCCTCGAAGCTGCCATTGCCTTCGTCACATCAGGGATTCTGGGGCCACAGGAGCCTGGGCAGGGGTCACTGATGGTCAAACGATGCTGCTCTGAGCAGCCCGGGGCTGTTTGCAGAGTACGGCGATCCGGGGACCCAGGAGACAGAAGAGAGCGCCCAGATTGTTCCGGACCTGCACGGTCAGCGGGAGCCACCTTGCAGATAAGTGTGGGACTGGCCAGCCTGCAGCCCTCTGGCCCGCCCCCTGCTGGCCTGTTCAGCAAAGTGCTGGATCCCAGGATCAGGAAGAGGGAGGGAGGGTAATCCGTGAGGCCCCTACTCACTTTTCTACCTCTGTGCCAGAAAGAAAGAGCTTGTCCCTGTTTTGTGGGGCGCAAGAAAAGGCGATCGGTATTCCGGATTCCCGACTCGCTGTCCAGTGCTCCCTCCCAGCCGTCAGCAAGCTGCAAGTTTCTCCTGTGTTCTCTCGGGTCGCCTGTGACGTTGCTGGGGAGCGGGTGGGGGTGGTGCAGGGAGACCTGGCCTCCGCGCTCTCTGGGGATGTTCTGGGGTGGGAGCCAGGGGAGGTGGAGAGTGGTGCGCCCCCACCCCCCGCCGGGCTCCCAGGCCACCTGCTCACCAGCAGGGAGTTCTGGCTATGCCCAGGCTGGGGCGGGGGTTGGGGTAGGGGTGGGGGGATGGTGAGGGCTGGATGCTGTTTTCTCCCGAGTTGTGTTTGGTGCTTTTTTTTTTTCCTTCCAGGATGGGGCTGTGGGGTCGACATGGGGAATGAGCCGGAGCCGGGCCTGGGCTGCCGAGGCACTGGCTGGAGGCTGCCAGGTGTGATCTGGGGGTGGGGGGGAGGGGGGTCGAGAGGGAGGCTGCACTGAGCCTGGTCTGATGGGGGCTAGAATAGCCTCCTGCTTCGTCCCTTTCCTCGGGGGGGGGTAGGGAGGGGGCTGCAGGCTTCAGGCTTGTGTGCTCTCTGTGGTCCGTGCGGGGCAGGTGTGCTCTTGGCCATGACTCCAGCAGGCTTCTCTCTTCAGCAGGGCATGCACTGCGTCCCTTCTCTGAGCTGGACTCGGGGATCCAGCGGTGAGCACCTGAGATGCCCCGTACTGTTCCCTGGGATCTTCAGGTGAGAAGCCGTGGCTGCGGGGGGTCGGCGAAGGGGTGTGTGTGTGTGTGTGTGTGTGTGTGTATGAGGAGGTGGGGTGCAGACGCCCTCAGTGGGAAAGCTGCAGAGGGAATTCAAACCAGCCGAGGTCTCTGAAGGTCTGTGCCACCCACCGAGCCCTTGTCCCCTCCCCTGCGACACTCTGAGCTAACCCTGCCTGGGGGCAGGCTGTAGTGTGTGTGTGTGTGTTTGTGTGTGTGTAGGGGGCTTCACAGCCACACACACTTCCTCCCCGATCCTGAGATTTCTCCTGCAAGGTTTTAGTGCCCAAAGCTCTCGCCCCGACCCTGTGTGGGTATTGGGGGTGCTGGGGTCTCTGAGTGTCTGAGTTAGGCTGGGAGAGGGGAGCCGCGGGAAGTTGGGGATGGAGGCCGTGGCCTTAGTCTCCCTTGCTGCATCTCTCCCAGGAGCCTCTGCTCCGGCCGCGTGGCCAGGACTCCAGGCCTGGTGCCAGCAGCTGTCAGTGGTTTTCTGGACCTCTGGGTGATCCTGCCAAGACCTCAGCCTTCCCCATGCACAGGACGGAGCCTGCTGTGGACGCGAGCCCTCCCTGGCCGACACTCCGCTGAGGACTGAACTGGATGTCAAGGGCAGCTCAAGGGTACAGCAGGGGCCGCAGCAGCCGCCTGCCTGTCGCATCTGCTGGGCTCCAGTGTCTGGGGCTGGGGGTCACTTCCTGACCCCGCTTGGACTCGGTTCCTCCTCGGGTCTCTGCCTGCGACCTGGGGCCAGGTCTCCCTGACCACGCCTTCCCTCGGGCTGTGTCTCAGAGGAAGCCACAGCTCGAAGCAGGCGTGAGACAGGGGTCGGGAGGGGCTCTGCGCGGGCTGGAGGCTGTGGGGACTTCCTAGGGGACACTTTCCCTGGTGGCTTGGGAGGAGTAGGGGCCTGGCCTCAGGGTGCTCCAGCTCTGGGGGCTTGGTGGGGGTGCAGCTGGAGGGGCAGCGGGGGCAGTGCCCTGGAAAGATAGTTCTTGGGTGAGGAGGCGCCGAGGCCAAGGAGACGCATTAGGAAAGACATAGCCAGCTCCAGGTGCGGTGCTGCTACCTGCAGGCCTGAGGGGCTGCCCCCGGCTCCATCTCAGGATGCTATGTCCCAGTCGGACCCCTTGGAGCTCCTCCCACCGTGGCTGGATTCTGGCCCTGGGAGCAGAGGCTGGCAACCCCCGTCCCCACTGCTCCCTTGTCCATCTGTGAGTAGACCCCTAGGGAGGCGGTCGGCCATCTCAGTGCCTTCCCGTGGCCGGGGTGGGGAGGAGGTGCAGGCAGGGCGGCGTAAACACTGGCCCTTTACTTTCCCATAGCTGGGGAGGCTGTGACGGCTCAGAAGCCAGGGCTGGTTTTCAGCAAGTCCTCTGCCCACGGCGCCTCTGCTGTGTCCTCTGCTTACGAGGTCCTCAGCCCCGTTGGGCCAGAGCCCTGCCCCGTTGAACTCATGCCCCCTTCGGCACAGCCCTGGAGGTCCCATCTCGCACGCAGTGACACAGGGCTCAGGGCTTGGGCCCGAATGGACTCTGGGGGAGACAGTTCTGTGTGTCAGGTGTGGAGAGCTGGAGTCATCAACTCTTCAATCAGGGATGGGGAGGAGCAGATGTGGAGAGGGGGGCAGGTGCAGGGCCTGGGTGGGCTGGGGGCATCTGGGCACAGGTGGAGCTGGCGGGGACCAGGGCGGGAGGAGGCACCTCCTGGGAGCCAGGTCAGGTCTCTGCTGTGAGTTCTGCCGCACCCGTCTCAGACCAGTCCACTCCCCTCTGCTAGCCTCGGCTTCCACTTGCAGGGGGCGCCGCGTGCTCTCCTGGGAGCGAAGGGGGATCTGATGAGGTCGTGTGCTTGGCCCAGGGCCTGTTAGTAGCTGCCCGGTAAACACTGCCATCCATCTGGGAGTGTGGAGTTAGGGTTTATCTATTGTTGGCACGCTGGACTGGAGAACAGCATCTTCCGACCCAGCCGCTTAGCTGTCCAACCCTTCCCCGTATCTCATCGGCTGGGGGAAGTGACTGCATTTCACAGCCTCCATGGTAGATGGTAGCGGTAGTTCATGGTGTTTTCTGGGGGTATTTACTGTTTTTTTTTTTTTTTTTTAAGATTTATTTATTTGAGAGAGAGAGAGAGAGAGAAGGGGGAGAGAGAGAGAAAGAGAGAGATTTTTTGCATCTTCCAGATTCACTTTCCAATTGGCCATAACAGCCAGGTCTGGACCAGCCTGAAGCCAGGAGCCAGGAGCTCCATCCTGGTCTCCCACGTGGGCGGCAGAGGCCCAAGCACTTGGGCATCTTCCATTGCCTCCCAGGCGGGCGCATTAACAGCAAGCTGATTGGCAGCTGAGCAGCCAGGACTTGAACCAGAAACCCCGACATGGGATGCAGGTGTTCCGAACGCCAGCCCCTGGGGTGTTTAAATTCTGCTTCTGTCATTAGAATTGAGCACCCACTTGGAGCCTTTCCTGTGGGAGCCACCAGGGGGTGAGGAAGAAGGAGGGCAGATGGGTAAAGACCAGGTCATGGTTCAGATCTTTAAGATTTCACGGCCAGGCCAGGGGGAAGAAACCAGCTCCTGGGGAGCTGGAGATGAGGGGCTAGGACCGTCTACTAAGGCACAGGTTCTGAGTCCTTGAGGCGCGGGGATAAAACCCCTGAGGCTGAACCCACCAGAGCCTTGAAGGAGGAAAAAAATATGTCTAGACAAGAGCTTATTGGGGGGAAGAATTAGAGCGGAGAGCCACATAGTATGTTCTAGATGTTGAAAAGAGAGTCCCGATGCAGCGGGTTTCTCTAGTGCAGGGCTTATCAGAGCGTTTAGAATGCTCACGGTAATTCTGGATGTCCAGGGACATCCAGGACAAAGAAGGGAGGGCTCCTAGCTTCTCTGGACACGCCATTCTTTTCTCATAGAAATCATTGTGAACCATGAGAGATGCGAGGCTGGGGGGTTGGGAAGGAAAATGTAGCAGGGAGGTAGATGGCATAGCGAGGTGCCCTCAGGTGCATGGTAGCATCCACAGGAAAGGGGGCAGAGCAGGAGGGGCCAGGGATGTGAACTTGGCTGCAAGAGCCAGGTCAACTCACTGCAGATTCTGGAGGGCGTGGGGGAGAACAGGCCAGTGGTTGGAGCAGGTAGAGACCTGGAGGATGGTGATGGCGTCCACCGGGCATGGTGGCTCTGGGGGACTGGGTGTTTGGTGGTGTGATGCTGGTGTAGTGTGAGTGTGCCCAGGTGTGAAAGCACCCAGCCCCCAGGGGAATGGGCTGCCTAGAACCAGGTAGGGGTTTCCATTCAGAACAAGTAGAGAACTTTCGGGAGAACTGAAGTATTTGGGGGTGGTGGTGGTGGGGTGGGGAGGAGGGGCTTGGAGACCCACAGCCACCATGCTTCCGGGCAGGGTGCACGTGGTTGGGTTTGATTCTGTGGGACCCCGGAGACTTCCAGGTGGACCCCCTGCCCTGGTGGGGCCCCGCTCCCGGGCTGGCGGGCTGCAGCTGGAGGGGCCGGGGAAGTGTGTTGCATGTGTGATTAACCTACTAACCCAGGGCTCGGCCGGGACGCTGTGTGACGAGGTGCTGGCCTTCTGCCAACCAACTAACCCACTAACCAGGCCCGAGCATGCCCTACTAACCCCTCCCGCAGCCAGACCCTACTAACCCGCGCAGCTCATGGGCCTTTCCAGGGGCTGGGACGTGGGGGCAGAGGAGGCTCTGCAGGACCCTCCCTGCCTGAGGGCTGGGGTCTTTGTGCAGACCCACAATGCAGGGCAGGGCGAGTCATGCCCACGCACCAATTCTGCCACTTCCTGTCCGTGACTCTGAACACAACATTTCTCTGGTCCTGTTCCCGCTGACCCCTACCTCACAGGCTGCAGTGAGGCGTGCCCAGAATAAAGGGTCTTGGCACAGGGCAGATACTTAAAATAAAAAGGGTGGGGGTGGGGGTGGGACGCGCTGAAACCCCGGGGGCCCCGCCCCCTGCCTGGGCCCTGGTCTCTGGGCGTTCTGCACACAGACCCTTCCACCTGGGGCCAGACACTCCCTTGGAAGCCCTGGCCGTCCCTTGCCCATTCTTCCTCCTCCTCAGCTCTCCCTCCTGGAGGCGGCTCTTCCGTCCCATTACTAACTCGTCTAACGCAGGGGCGCCCCCACCCCGCCCCGTAACACACTAACGGACCCGCGTGCCTTCTGCCTTTCCCTCCTGGCGACTCCCGTGTGTGTCTGCTGAGGTGCCCCCGCCCGCTGGCGCTGCGCTCTGACATACTAACCCAGCCCCTACTAACCCTGTTTTCTTACTAACCCCAGCCCTGCCGAGCTCTGGGCCCCCCACCCACCCCCGGGGGCCTGGTCCCCTTCCCTTTGGCAAGCACGTGGCCCAGGGCTGGCCCTGTAGACAGGTGGTCGGCTCTGCAGCCCCACACCGGCTGTTGGGGTAACAGAGCCCACTGGGCCAGGTCTGAGGCAGGGGACAACGCTCTAAGAACAATGCAAGGGGTAGGGGGGTAGGGGAGGGGTCCCTGCGGCTGGAGGGCAGCTGGACTCTGAGCCTTGGTTGCCACAGGGTGTGGGCAGGACCAGGGAACCCTCTGGAGGCGTGAGTGTGGAGGCCTGCGGGTCTAGACAGTGGAGCTCTGGGCTTTTCCCAGCCAAGGGAGCAAAGAGAAGGGACAGGAGCCCCAACCAGTAAGTCCTGAAGGGGGCATGTTCTACACCGGAAGTCGTCCGGCTGAGACGCCCCCATCTTGGATGGCCATGGCGAGGGCGTGTCCACGCTGAAAAATGATGAGTGGAGCCTTTTGTTCTCAGGAAGCCAGCCAGCGAGGCTGTCCCCATATCTGAAGGTGGAGACAGGGGCTGTTCTGACTCGGAAGTCTGAGAGGGGCTTGCCCTTAGGCCAAGCTGGAGAGAAACAGGGCCAGTGACCAACGAGAGGCCCTTTCCAACACAGGAAGTCAGCTAGAGAGGCCCTTCCCGTACTTGGGGCTGAGAGGCGGCTTTCAGGAAGTAGAGTGCCCGGTCTTTTTTTCACACCGGAAGTCACTGGGAAAGACCCGCCCCATCCCGGAAGCTAGGGGGCGCAGTTCTGCCCTGGGCATGGTGTACTCAGGAGGAGGAAGCAGGGCTCGGGGGAGGAGCTGCCAAAGCCGCTCAGCTGCCCCCGCCTTGCGTTCACCCCCAGCTCCCCGTCCTGTTCCCAACAGCCCACCTCCCCCAGAGCCCGCCAGCCGCTCACACCAGGGCCACACCTGGGGGTGACTTCCGGCCTCACCTCCAGTAGGCACCTTGGTCGCCTTGGGCTAATCTCTGGCTCCTGTGCACTAACTCTCGCTCCCGCCCAGCTACTCTCTGCCTGGCCCTGGCTGCCCCAGGGGCTGACCACTAACAGCCAACCCTGCCCCTCTAGGGGCTCCGGGCTCCTGGCCTGGCTCCCGTCGGCCCCTAATTAACCCGCCCTCACCTTGACTAACTCCTGCCCTTCTGATCTGTCCCTTTTAGCTGGAACTAATGGCTTGCCGAGTTCTTTCTAACAGCAGGTGTAACACTCGTCCCTGTCACTATTAACAGCTTGGATGTTGGCATGGCTGGGAAGGCTCTATCTAACACACGTTTGGGACCTGACTAACCCAGGGAGAGGTGCAGTTAGCGATGTGGGTGCTGGGGCACAGCAAAGATCGTAGCCCTCCACGGGAGATGCCGGGCTCTGGGCTGTGGCGTCCCTGGGGGGATGCCCCAAGGAGGAGTCAGCCGCGAGCCAGCCTCTCAAGGGGTTGGCCCCTGGGCAGATTGATTCACACTTCACCAGCTGCATTTGGTTTGGATTAAAGAAAAAAATAAGTATCATAGCTTCGTAGTGTGCAGCTAAGAACAGCTGTGTGTCTCGGGTGTGCCACTGTGTGTGGAAGGAGGAGGGTCTGGAGCTTTTGTTTTGGGGATGCTGGGATGTTTGGATCGGGCTATCCTGAAATATCGTGACTCCATCAGCCACGTACACCTTAGCGTAAATCAGCTCCACTCCGTCTCCTGCCATAACTCTGCCATGCGGTTTAGCTGCCCTGGGGAGATGGGAGTTTGGTTGGCAGGGTGTCTGGATCTCTTTAGGTCTGGGGAGGGGAGTGGTTTGGCAGCAGAGAGGGGGAGCTGTGAGGTCAGGGGTTCCCAGGGTCCCGGTGAGAGGCGGCTGGCTCAGGCTGGCGGGATAGGAGAGCTTATGGTCAGAATTAGAGGCCAGCCCGGCAGCTTTAGAGACAGGTTGCTTGGACCAAATGATGCTGGTGACAGCCCGCGTCTAACAGTCACGGGCTCAGAGCTTGCCCAGGGTGGTCGCTGGCAGTGAGCTGTGAAGGGAGACCCAGACACTTAAAAGCAAGCGAGGAATGATGGCCTAGGCAGGTGCAGGGGCAGCCGGCAGGGACCTGGCATGGGGCAGAACGCACTTGCCTGTCGCCCTCTGGTGGCCAGCTTGCCTCATGGCACACAAAGCTGGGCGCTCAGAAGCGAAAACACGTCCCAACTACAGAGCTTTGGGTGTGCTGAGGCCCTGCTATGTGCCAGGCGCCGCTCTGGAGGTGGAGCTCTGCACGTGGGATCCCCCCCCCCCCAATCTTGGTGCTTCTATAGCTCAGTAGAAGTAGACAGTGACGCAGGGAGAAGGGTGTCCTTTGGGGCTGGCGAGAGGGCACAGACAAGATTGCTGTGCACATGCTGTGCCAGGCATGGGGTGGTTAAAGGCCACTCAGTCTTTGCTAGCTTGAATTCTCATGTGTTAGGTGGGTGTAGGGGAGAGTAGGGGTAGGGAGACGCCTAGTCTTCCATGGGTGTAGCAGTCAGGGTGGGCTTCCTGGAGAGGGAGATATCCAGACTGAGCCCTGCATGGCTGGAGTGTGGCTGGGGATGAGTTTAGGACAGCAAGACTGGCAGACACAGGGCTGTGGGAAATGAGGGAGGAGCCAAGGAGATTCATGCAGAGTGTGGGAGGACTCAGATGGGGACATGGACAAGGCCTTTGGACTTTGTCCAGTGAGGGGCCATGGATGTGGCCTGAGAAGGTGAAGGAGTTGGGCTTCACTTCCAGCCCCAGGGAGCTTGTAATGAGCTCTAATCACAGCTGCCACAACCGAGTGCACTCTTGGAAAGGAGAAAGACCCTTCGGGCTGTCCTGAGAGAAACAGGTTGTAGAAACTCTCGCCCGGTTGCAGGCAGCTCTGCAGTGATGGGGAACTAAAGAGGACCGAGGTGACAGTGAGGACTTGGGGTGGGGGGGCACAGTCCTGAAATCCCATCACCCCCGCTGGGTGGGGCCCCGGAGAGGCTGCAGGGAGACACGACGTGGGTGGTAGGTTTACTAGGAGATCAGTGAGGGAGGGGATTCCTTTGTCTTGGAGGCTGCCAGGGCAAGAGAACAGTGTGGTGTAGGCGCCCAAGAGGTGGCCCTGGCCCCAGAGAGGGGAAACACGTGTCTTCTGTCCCTGGAGATGGAAAGATGGGAACTGGGCCAACGCTGAGGCTGGCGGTGGCTGCGAGATTCCCGGTGTGTGTGCGTGTTTTTTGACTCAGCCCACACGGGCACATTCTGTCTGTCCCTCCCTGATCACAACCTGAGGGTGCCCATTCCCCCTGGCTTGCTCCAGCCCACTGGACTGCAGGCCGGCTGGGAGTCGGGCCTAATGAACCGAGGACTTGGCTCTCAATCTTTTCTCACTGGGCTGTGTGGAGGGAATGGGCACCATGGAGCCTGGCTGGGGGCTGTGCTGGTGTAGAGGGGGCCAGGTGCAGCCAGGAAGATGCCTTGGGGGGGGGTGCGTGGTCCCAGCCCAACAGAATACCCCCTACCTAAGATGCTCCTGCGTGTCTCCGGGGCTGATGGCGGGACATCAACAGACCAGAAAAGGTGCTCGCGTTCCCCGACGTGACCTCCAGGGGGCGCCGAGGGAGGGCACAGAGATTCTGCCGTGGATGGAAAGCAATGGGGTTTTCACACCGGGTCAGCCGTGTCGGGTCTCTTGGCTTTTGGTTTTCACCCATGAATGTAGCTGCTTCTGTGTAAAATACCACGTTGATATTAAATCTCGATTCACACCCAAAGCATGGCTGTGGCTTCTGAGACACAGGGCTGAGAAGGTTGTGGGCAGAGCGTGGTCGTCAGGGTACACGTGGGCTGTGCCGTGAGTCAGCCTTGACCGTGACCTTGGAGGCCAGCACAATGAAGCGTTTGCTTCTATTTCAAATTATAAGATTTACTGTTGTCCTCATCCCATTTCTAAAAACATATTAGAGAGAGAGAAACGGTTTCACTCCCCAAATGCCCACCCCAGCCAGGGCTGGGTCAAACTGAAGCTGGGAGCTGGGAACTCACTCCAGGTGAGTGGTAGGGACCCAAGTCCCTGAGCCGCACGGCTTCCTCCCGGGTGTGCGTTAGCAGGAAGCTGGATTTGGAAGCCGACTGGGAACTTGCATTGGGCGCTCTGATACAGGATGCAAGCGTTCCGAGAAGTGGCGTTGGTTGCTAAGCCAAACACCTGCCTCCCCCGAAGCCATTTTTAAGGGACCGGTTCTGTGTGTCCATCAGATTCACATCGTGGTGCAGCCATTCCTGCCACCGGCCCTGCTTTGTGCCCAGAGAACATCCAAGCTCTTACTGCCTGAGAGCTTACCCTTCCCCCGGGGGGAGGAGGAGTGGCAGGTGGGTGGAGCTCCTTGGTGGCTGAGAGAAAGGTTTAACACAGGGTCATGCAGGGCTGGCAGAGAGATGGCACATGTGAAGCCACTGCCAGAGTCCTCATCCATGCAGACATCGCCAGTCAATCGCCTATCTCTTTGGGAACGTGGATGCATCCACCCTCAAGGTCTTTCTCAGCCCTGTGTTCTGGGTGGCCAGGACCATCTGTCCTAGGCTTGAGGTGTTGACAGACCTTGGCATATTGTTCAGCTTGTCTTCGCAATCATGAGGTTTCCACTGTTAACAGTAAAAGAGATGTTTATGTAGCTCAGACCAGGCATCCCTACTGGCCTGGCCCCTTGTGCTAGGAGAGACCCCCACACGGAGCGGGAAGCCGTGGCTGGGGGAGGAGTCAGGTGAGCGCCACCTTCAGGGGACCGCACCTGCGGTGACCTAAGGACCACCCTCCTCCACCGCCCTTGGAGAGGGGCCAGCTCTCAACACCACCACCCTGGGGCCCACGTTCCCACCTAAGGACCCCTCCGGGTGGGGGATGCACTCAAACCCCACCCAAACCTCTGCGTGCAGCTGGGACCTCAGCCCTGCCACCCATGTGCATGTCTCCGAGCCTCTGTCTGCTCGGTCACGTGGTGACACAGTGACGAGCTGGCATGGCACTCTGCAGCTTTACCGGGGCTCTCACAGGGCTGGGGCAGGGCCCCAAAGCCTCCTTCTGTGTTGGCCCTGGCTAAGCTGTTGGAGGGAAACTCTGGGATGGGAGGCTTCCTGGAAGAGGTGACCCAGGAGGGAAGCCTTGAAGGATGAGAAAACCAATCATCCGAGAGGAAACAGCTGTGGTGGTGCAGGGCACGCCGGGGTGGCTCCCTTAAGATTTATCAGCCCGGGAGCTGGTGTTGTGGGGCAGCGGGTTAAGCCACCTGAGATCCCGGCGTCCCATATGAGTACCAGTCGACATCCCAGCTGCTCTGCTTTCCATCTAGATCCCTGCAAATGCACCTGGGAAGGCAGCGGAAAATAGCCCAGGTGCTTGGGCCCCTGCACCCATGTGGGAGACCTGGATGGAGCTCCAGGCTCCCAGCTTCAGCCTGGCCCAGCCCTGGCTGAGACAGCTATTTAGGGAATGAACCAGTGGAAGCAAGACTCTCTCTCTCTCTCTCTCCCCCCCCCCCCCCCCCCGTTCCAAATAAGTCATGAAATCTGAAAAAGTGAGATCCTACAGGCACATCCTACAGGAGGTGGGGACACTCCAGGGTGTGGAGGTGACCGCCTGAGCTCAGACCTGGCCCCCCGTGCATGGCGCTCATGAGCTGGTGGGAACAGGTGGGAATCCCCCGGGGGAGCAGGACTTAGAAACCTGCCCACAAAGGACACGAAGACACCTGTCTCAGTCTCTCCTCTCTTTCACAGCACACTTCTCTTGCAATCCCACTTTGCTACAAAGTTTTAGAAATTTATTCACTTGAGATATCTAGGAGAAGGGAACTGGTGCAGGGAGGGTCTGGCAGGGCAGAAATTAATTGATACTTTGTTATTTTTATTTTGTTCCTTGGGAAGGAGAGAGAGTCAACCAGGGAGCCCTACCTGTTGGCTCACTCCCCAGATGCCCAAACCTCTGGGAGCTGGGAGCTTCCTCCAGCTCTCCCACGTGGGAGCCAGCACCACTGCCTCCCAGCGCCCACCTGAGCTGGAAGGGGAGCCTGGGGCAGGAGCCAAACTCAGGTACTGGGAGGTGGGACACGGGTGTCCTGGCTCATGTGGCCCCGCCCTCCAAAACAGAGCTGTTTAAGGCGCGTGTGGTGCAGTAGGTTAAGTTGCTACTTGGGATGCTGTGGCCCATACTGGAGCCCTGGTTCAGGTCCCAGCCCCTCTGCTTCCCAACTGTCTTCCTGCTAACACACTTGGGAGGCAGCAGGTGACGGCTCAAGGGCTTGGGCCCTGCCACCCACGTGGGAGCCTTTGATGGAGTGTCTGGCTCCTGGCTCAAGCCTGGACCAGCTCCAGGTGTTGCAGCCATTTGGGGAGTGAACCAGTGGATGGAAGATCTCTCTCTCTCTCTCCCTCTCCCTCTCCCTCTCTTCCCTGCTCTCCCTTTCAAGCAAACCTATAAAATGAGTGTTAAACCTGAGATTTTTTTTCAACCTGAGACATTTTAAAAAGACTTGTTAGCTCATATAAAAATATCAATAATGGTAAAAAAATTTCACATTAACATAAATCACACATGCATTATTTTTAAAGATTTATTTATTATTTGAAAGGCAGAGTTACAGAGAAGCAGAGGCAGAGAGAAAGAGAGAGGTCTTCCACTCACTGGTTCACTCCCCAATTGGCTACAATGCTGGAGCTGTGCCGATCCGAAGCCAGGAGCTTCCTCCAGGTCTCCCATGTGGGTGCAGGGGCCCAAGGACTTGGGCCATCCTCCACTGCTTTCCCAGGCCACAGCAGAGAGCTGGATTGGAAGTGGAGTAGCTGGGACTTGAACCAGCACCACATGGGATGCCAGCACTGCAGGTGATGGCTTTCCCCACTACACCCCAGCGCCAGCCCCTCACACACACATTATTAATAACATTCTCCAAAACCAAACCAGCTTAGTGAGGCGACTGCGTTGCTTTAGTTTTCCCATCAACCGCATGTCGGGATCGATAGGAATGGAGAGGTAGTTCTGGAGCTGCACCTGCAGGCCAGCTGGGGCCGCCTCAGCTGTGCTGCCCGGCAGGTGCCCACGGCCCATCCACTCATTCACTCCGGGGCCTGAGCTGCAGTTCACAGGAGTGGCCAGCAGGTGGCGGTATTTTACCAGAACCATCACTGCCTAGTCCTGGTTCTTGAACACCTGGCTCCTCTCTCTCTCTGGGGCATCTGGGGGCTGCTCTAGAGGGGGATCCTCTTGGGCTCCCAGAATTTGAAGACACCGGACAGGGCCTGGCCTGAGTGGGGGAAAGGAAAGCGGCTGGAGAGAATGTGGCTGAGGACAGGAATTCTGGAAAAGTTCTGCTGCGGGCTTCCGCTGGGAGCTGGAGCCACGGCGGGCGACTTCCTCACCCGGAGCCTGTTCTCTCCGCTGCAGAGTGGGCTGACTCTACGCTGGCGTCCCCCCAAGGTGCACTCGGATTGTGCCTGCGCAGCAGTCTCAGGCGAGGCAGCCTCCCCCAGCGCTCTCCCACTCCCTGCAGGCAGTGCCGGCTCCTGCTCCCACCTCCCAGCCCCCTGGACTGACCACAGGTGGCCGGGGCATCACACTTGTCAACTCCTCAAGCGCTCCTTTGGCTGGAGAGTTTCATGGTCTCTGCTTTGCAGAGAGGAGGGCCGCGAGGCTCAGAGGGGTGCAGAGCGTTGCCCTGGGGCTCACAGCTTTGGTGCGGGACGCCTGGGCTCATCGGGCACAACCTCCAGGGGTGCGACTCTCCAGGCAGACGGGGCCCCTCGCTTGTCTCTGTGCCCTTCCTCTGCCTGCAAGGTGTGCAAGTGCTCTCAGAGGGCCGAGCACAGTTTGTGATTCTGTTTTTTTTTAAAAAATGATGTTTATTGATTCATTTTTATTTATTTGAAAGGCAAGAGTCGCGTGCGCACACGCACACTTTCCATCTGCTGGTTCACTCCCCAGATGGCCGCAATGGCCAGGGCTGGGCCAGGTCAAAGCCAGAGCTTCCTCTGGTCTCCCACGTGGGTGCAGGCGCCCAAGCACTTGAGCGCCACCTGCTGCCCCCTAGGTGTAATAGCAGGAAGCTGGATGGGAGGCAGAGGTGGGACTGGTCCCAACACCTCCCATTCCACCTACTGCACCTGCAGCACACGCCCGAAGTTCTCATCTTTATTTGCTCGTTTCCAGCTTTCCCTGGCTGTGAGCTCCACGAAGCCTGCTGCCTTTGCGGCTTCGGGCACCCAGCGCGGTATTCGGCACAGAGTCACCCACGGCGTTTCTGTGCAAAGCAGGAAACAGGAGCCAGTTGAGGCTCCGACGTGGCTGGATCCGCCCGGCACCGGCTGTGCGTCTTTTGGAGACTCAGTTTCTTCATCTGTGAAATGGGTTTCCTTGTCCTCTCGAGAAAGTTGTGAGGGTTTGGCCAGAGGGCATCAGCGCAGGCGTGGGGTCCTGCGCCCCATTTCCTCTGCCTGCAGCAGTTTCTCCTGGCCCCTGGTGCTCCTGGTGCTTTGCCAGCAGGGTGCGGGAGGAAGATGGCACAGCCTGAAGATCAGACCGGCAGCAGCTCAGGCCTCCTTCTGCTCTGAGTTGGCCTGAATGGGAGCGCCCCATGGGCAGTGTCCCGGCAGCCCTGGCCAGGGCCCCCTCCGGCAGGAGAACAACCCTGGAATGCGAGGAACGTGCCGGCACCTCCAACCCCAGGGGGCCCAGGTTGCCTTGGAAGCACTGGGTCCAGGGGGCATCTTCCCAGCAACGCCA